AGAACGCGTTTAGATATTTGATCTCGCAGATATACAGTCAGAAAGTGCCTTTAGCAAGCATTTTTTATGATTTTAGAATATGAGTTAATATCCTGAAAAAGACACTATAACATCTATTTTGTAAACAGTGCGATCGTTGTATCTATTTCGAGTAAAGTAATTTAATCTTTTTAACCCCAGGACTGGATCACGTGGGATTTCTATGGGAAGAGAAAGGAAAATCTTTAACTTAAATTGAAAAAGAAAAATATTATATGAATATCTTTCACACACAATACATTAAATTTATTAAATTTATTCATTACAAACACACACACACACATATGTATATATTGTTACATGTTAAAACTAAATTTTACATTAAATAAATTTGTCAACTAATATTTGAATTTATTAATTAGTATTAAATATAACACAAGAATAAATTAAGAGTTTAAGTCTTATAACGTTTATCTAATAAAAAAATTCAAAGTATATTCCACAGAAAAATCTACATTATAAATATTTTATCTAACTGTATAATTAAATAAATGAATCATAATCTGCTTACAACTGATTACATTGATCAACTGAAATTGTATCATATGTTAAAAAGTCAATTCTTATTAATTTTGTTGCTCTTGTAACGAATATATCAGCCAAGAATTGAACCTTAGCTCCAGTTTTCATCATGCTTTAATTATAAATTTAAGAAGTCTTACAATTTAACGCAAGAATTAAATGATATTATTAAATTAAATGAATTAAATGAATGTTAAAACTTGACAGTTCGGACTTTGCATCGCAATATCTTCATTCGTAAGGTTTGTAGGCCAAAAAAAAAACAGTTTTGATATTTAAAATTTTAAGTAAATTGAAAATACTGAATTAATCGATTAATTGAGTCGTTCATTGTGAGATCCGATAATCTTGGTTGCTCGAAACTCACTGACTCGCGTAAAGAACACGGTGCGGTCTCGCTTCCCATTCATTTAACATGAGACACTACCGCGTCTCCTGATATTAAAGTATATATAAAGTGAAATATTTTTTTATTTATTATTAATATTTTAATGTATATAAAAAACGAGCTATTTTTAAATTGCTGTACACAACAAATCATATCAATACAAAACAAAATCCATTTTAACAATTGATATTTTCACGTAGTATTAATAAAATTTTTTTTTAATTTGCTATTGATATTACAATATCGCGAATACCTTTAAAATCAATGATTTGTGCATTTTGACATCATTTTAATTAAAAATACAAATTAATAGTCAAATTTATGTAACAAATTTGTATTTAGCAGACAAAAGATCGAAAAATGACTATACACATTCGCAATACAAAAAAAGATCAATTTTTTGTCCAGTATCATAAACATGTGTATGATATAAGATCTTTAAATATATATATTTATGTATGTTTAGATATGCATAAAAACAAATATCTTTGCATAAACCTACTCACAGTGATATTCTATTCACACGCAATAGTAAAGATGGGTATATATTCAAAATACCTTTCATGTTCAATCTAAACATTCTTAACTAGATCACATTATATATTAGGTTGTTCGGAAAATTCGTTTCAAATTTTCTAGTTCAAAATAGTATATTGTACATTAAAAAAATTAACGATTATACCATTCGGTAGAGCAAAATCTCAACTTTAAGAGTTTGATTTCTTAATTGCAATATGATGATTTTTAGTTCTGAGTAATTAAAGTCAAAATGTTTCTTTACTTAACTCGTAAATAACTCAGGAACAAAAAATCGTAGGAACGATTTTGTAGAGAAAGCTTTAAGCTTTTACGATAGGTAGGTTGAAAATATTCTTTTTGGACACGTGAAAGAGCCATAAAGTAAAAAGAAAATTTTTCATCTTTTTCAGCTCGTAGTTTTTTATATGTAAAAAATATCAAACTCACAGAAATTCAAGAAATATATAGTAGCTCCTTTTTCGAAAGTATAGAGATATTAATCTTTAAAATCATTTTTTTAAATTTAAATTTTGTTCATTTTTTTATGAAAATGTATATACAATTTTTAACTAGAAATTTGAAATAAACTTTCCGAACAAACTAATACATGTAAAATTTTTAATTATTTGCTTCGCAAGTATCCGATATTGCCATGAATTGTATCAGAATTATTATATAAGTGGTAACAATATCCGCCATCTAAGAAAATACAAAAATCACAAAATAAATATAAATATATCTATTTAAATCTTGTTTTGTTTGTTTAAACTAAATATATCTATCTATTTATTTATAACAAAAGTATGAATGATTAATCACTTACTGCTGTAAGAAGCATAGCGTCCACAGTAATTCCCTTTGCACAAAATACATTATCACGTTGCATTAATTGCAAGGAAAATACTTTTAACTGCAGATAAAAATAGTTATATAAATACAGGATTGAATGACATAATTATAAATTATGAATTCATATATTAAAATTCACATTATTATACATACTTGGAGGTATACTTAGAAAAAAAAATATATATATAATATATATATATATATATATAAAAGACATACGAATTAATTAATAATTAATAAATTAATAAATTTATTTATTTTTAAATCTACCTCGGATTGTATTTCCTCATCGTTAGTGTTGTTAATCACGTCGTGAATACTAGTTTTAATATTCATGGCTTCATTCTTGCCAGTTTCACAAGCCCATACTATGAATAATATTTTTATAATGTAATTTATTATAAATAGAATAAGATCACTATGTTTTGTTAGCCTTATTGTCAATGATCTAATATCGCCATAATCATAAGGATTTTTTTCCATTTGCGAGAAGAGAAAGTATAGGTTGAATGTGATTTGAATAAAAGTCATAACAGTCGTAGAAATAAGTTGCCATTTGAATGTCGTTTGTAACATTTCTAGTGTGTTGCTAAGTGTCTGATGCTGCTTCATCAGAGTTTTGAGTTGCATCAGTTGGTATGGATTCTTCTGCTTTTGTGGATAAGTTGCTTCTAAAAGACTTGGCTCTTCATTTACTTCAAATTTTTTAAAAAAGCTCAGACTCTCATTGAGTTGTTTAAAACAAGCTTTCAATACGCAAACACAATTCATATACATCATGTCCATTTGAAATTCCAGTAAATGGATGTATAACATTAAAATTATGCGTAAAGTTTCATACTTTTGTATATAATAATGTATCATCATTTGTCCTAATACAAAAAAGAACCCTAAAATGTCCTTGGTATGAATTAGTACAGACATATTTTGATATAACTTCTGAGGCAATTTTGATGATATCTCCAGTATTTCTTGAAGTACACGCATTCGCTGTCCACTCAAAAGAAATGTGCTGACACATGTAAAACCACCAAAAATGAAAAAGCAGTTACCTTCGAGTAGCTTGGGATTAGCATCGTCTTCAGATTCTATCGTTATATTCTTGCCATGATTGAAAATGACTTCATAATCGAGGTTATAGAGAGTTGTTAAATCATAAAGGCATAAAACGCAAATAATAATAGTCGAGAAAACGTAACATGGCTTATTAGCTTTAATAGTGTAAGCTTTGATCTTATATGGAAATATTCCCAAAGTGCGACAAAAAGTGATGCAAGGATACATCAATGATTCAAAATCCATGGCGCGAAATAGCTGACATGCGTTTCCTTTTCTTTTGAAACCGTTGAAATTGTTGATTTTTAATGGTGAATTAACCATGGCGAAGTATTATAAGACAGCAATAATCTAAGTTATTGTTTATAACCAAAAAAATATTAATTACGATATTCTTTAGCAGTAATGTATTTACAAGAACTTCTCTTCAAAATGTAATTTGTTGTCTTAATACGGCAAATGCGTAACCCACGTAAACTTCTTGCAGTCCGTGTACACTTGTCAAGTTTAATTTTAAAACTACTAAAAATTATTGCACTGTACAGCAAAGAGAACTCAGGAATTTGTTAGTCATGAAGTAACCATGGTTTTTCGCTTATTATTTCCAGAACACGCAGAAAATAATGATGTATTATTTACTGTAACATGTAATTCACAGTGTTGTGCATCTAGATCATATACAATGCGAGTGATTGTTATCAAGATATTTCTTAGTCTTCTATTAGATTCGTTTATAGTAGAAACAAAATGATAACAAATACATATCATGCTAATATAAAAAAAGAAAGACACACTTTTATTTTAAAGGAAAAAAACAATTTATATATTTCACACAACACACACATACACACACACACACACACACACACACACACACACACACACAATACACACACATATAATATACTCGCAGACAAAAGAAACAGGCCACCAACTTTTAGCACAAAATAATATTTTCAAATAACAATAATTCAATAAAAAGATCATCAAGTCTATGCCAGTTATTATAATAGAATTTTCTATAAAGGAATTTATTTTCTATTATAGCACATGTATTCTTATTTTTATAGATGAATACGTATTATAAATACACGCGCTTAATTCGTAAGATTTTTTGCTAAGAGGAATTCCCCACTTATCGACAGAATATTTTTTTAATACTATTTTAATACTTAAAATGTCTTTTATATTATGTAGGTATCTTTTTGTTATAACGGACTATATATATTTGTAAAGTTTAAAGATTATCCCTCGCAAGTATTCCACATTAACAAAAATTGTACTAAAATGATTATGTACATTGTAATGCCACCCGCCAGCTAAAAAATACAAAACCACGAAATAAAGTTAAATATACCAACATTGATTTAACGAAAGAAAATAACTGATTGTTCACCTTAGTAAGAAGTGTGGCGTCAATAGTAACTCCTTTTGCAAAGAATATGTTCTTGCGATGCATTAATTGCAGAGAAAATAACTGTAACTGCAGTAGGAAATTATTAAATACGAAATTTAACGATGTTACAAATCTAATTATATAAGGTAATATATTGAAAAAATTATATTAGTATACGTGATAAGAATTTAAAAAATACATAAATTATACGAATTAAATTATAAAATTTTTCTAATCTACCTCATACTTTATTTCCTTATCGCTGATGGTATTAAACACGTCGTGAATGGTAGTGCGAATATCCATGGCTTGGTTCTTGCAGGTTTCGCAAGCCCATACTACCAACACTATCTTTACAAAATAATGTGTTGTAGAAAAAATAATAAGGTGTTCCTGATAATTTCGTTTTTCTAGATTGCCCTTAGCTACGTCTTGCACTTGTACTTGCGTTGCGAAATAGTACAAGATCAAAGTGCTTTGAGTAAAAGTTTTAGTTATTGTGGTAAGAAGTTGTAAACAAAAGGTCGCGTTCAGTGTCTCCACTATGTTGCTGATTGCCATATGTCGCTTTTTCAGAGTCTGAAGTTGCATCAGTAGAAATGAATTTCTCTGCTCGTGATTAATGGTATTCGTTAGGAAATATGGTGTACTATTTGCATTGAGTTTTCCCAAATTCGCTAGACTATCATTGACTTGCTTGAAACAAACTTTTAATATGCATACACAATTCATGTACAGCATATCCGTTTGTATACCCACGAAATATAAATATACTCCGACAATTTTGTTCAAGATCTTAAGGTGCTGCATATAACAAATTTTCAATGCGTACGTGACTGCAAAGGCAAATCCAAAAATGTCCTTAGCATGGATTATCCTAGATAAATTCTGATATGACTTCTGTGGCAATTTCAAAGATATCTCTAATATATTCTGAAGTAAGCGCATACGTGGTTCACTCAAAATAAATGTGGTAACTGTTATAAAACTGTTAAAAATTTGATAACAGTAAAAATCAAGTTTCTTGGGTATGCTTAATGTTGCTTTTGAAACATTAAAGTTATAGAAAATTATTACTTCAAAAATACTAAAAATGCAGATAATGACAGTTGATAGAATATAACATAGTTTACAAATCTTAATGGTCGAAGTATTGATCGTGTATGGAAATATTCCCAGAATTCGGCAAAAAATAAAGCAAGGATACATTAATGATTCGAAATCCGTGGCGCAGAATAGCTGCCATATTTTTCCTTTACTTTTACTTTTTATTTGTTGAAATACCATTAACAAATTAAACATGTTCGTCGAAAAATATAATAAAAATATAATAATCTAACTCTCTGAATCATAGACTATAATCGATTGGATAATTAATTATTAATCAGCTGATTAATTTCGTCACAAATGTCTTTTAGCAGCAACTTATTTATAAATTCCTATGTGTTTTTCAAGTATAATTTTTTATTGTGTCTTTACAGCAAATGCGTGAACCAACATAAACTTTCACAATCTACACTCTTTACAGTCTTGTCAAGTTTAATTTCAAAACTACTATGGTAAAAATTATTGCATCGTATAGTGAAAGACCGTTCAGGTAATGTTAGTCATAAGGTAACCATGATGTTTTGTTGTTTATTTCCTCTGGAACACGCATGAAATAATGATATATTATTTACTATGTAGTCTACTCTCTTGTGCATCTAGGTCAAAGAGTATTAACATGATCAAAATATTTCGCAAGCATTCCTTTCATTCGGGTAAATATGAAGTTATATATGTTGTTCTAATTGTTATTTCTTAGAAGCATTATTATTCTATATTATTATTTTATATTATTGTAAAATCTTATTCCCGATTTGCTATAGTTAGCAGTGCTACTATCAACAACTATTTGCTATCTCTCGATATTTTTAACATATGTGATATTTAATACTTTAATTGTATAAAAATTAATTTTTAAAAGTTGCTTTTTATATTTGTATTCTTTATTCATTTTTTCCATTAAAAATAAGAATATAAAGATGTTTAAAAACAAAATAAGTAATGTAATCAATGTTACATATCTTTTCGCTGAAAAATTTTATTTTTTGGAAAGGATAACAGATGAATTTAATATTTACAAAAATTATATGTTTTATTGATTATTAATGTTTAAAAAAATATTTTTTAAATCTGTTTTACTTATTGACTTTTACTAAAACTACTCTCTCAGAGGGATCCTTCGATAAAGAATCTCTCCAACAATTTTGCGTTTTGTGCAAGTGAAAACTTGTTTTATCAAAAAAAATTTAAATTTATTAAAGTTATCACGCTGAGGCTTTTGAAAAACAAGATTTCGAAAAAAAATGCGTTCAAAGTTTAAAAAAAATTTATGATAAAATAATTATGTTTTTGGGTAACTTATTCATATATACGCGTATATATTACACTTATTTATTACATTAGGACTTTTTTCTATATTCTAGACTCTATGTATAGAATAATTTGAGATTTAAAAAATTTATTTTTATAAACTGTTTTACATTGTTGTGAGAAGGTAAGGACTTTATTTTTACGGTATAATAAAAATTCGTAGTAAATGTATATGTATATGAGAGATATAAAATAAATAAATTCCGAAATTGTGTCATGAAGATATTAAATATTTCATACACACACAATTAGAATATTGACTTTCAGAACAAATGTCAAAGGAAGAAGAGGAAATTAATATATCTTAGAGAGCGTTATTCGTCTACATAGGTATTGAGCAGTTGATACTATCTGTTTCATGTTTGCATACATAATTTAATGGGTTGTTACAACAATTATATAATATATCATTATTTTGCATACTGTATCCCAAAGGTACAATTGCCGATCGAAGAACACCATGGTTACTTGATGTCCAACAAGGTATCTCTTTAGTCTTGTCTCGTTTGAGATAATAATTATTTGCAGTTATAAACTTAAATTTGTTGCGTGTAAGTAGGACAAACTATCTAGTTAACGTATTCAATGAGGAAAAAGAAACTTGACAATTATATTAAAAAAAAAAGTTGTTGCAATCATATTAATACCGCAGTGTATTTTCAATATAATTAATAATTGTTATTTTTTAAGATTGAGATGTTTACATTCCCATGACATTCTACTGATCATGCTCAATTTGCTATCAAAATTCCAAGACCAAGTATTGAAGAAATGGTGGCTTTTTCAAGCCACGGACTTTCAATCCTTAATGTATCCATGCTTTATCTTTTGCCGCATTCTTGGAATATTTCCATACAAGATCAATGCTTCGATCTTCAAAATATCCAAATCGTGTTATGTTGTGTCAATTGTTATTACCTGCGTGATTTGCTTTTTACAATTTATGTTGCTCTATGGGCTAAGTTATGGAAGGATGTATATTTCAGACATACCCAGAGCTCTTCATGGTAATTGCTACTATTTATTAAGCGGTTTTATAACAATCGTCACGCACGTCTTAAGCAGTCCACGAATGCGTTTGCTGCAAACAATAATGGATATCTCTTCACAATTGCCATCGACGACATATAAGAAGTTATCCAAACTGATCCACACGAAAGATATTGTTAGTTTCCTTTTCGTCTTAGTAGTAATGGCAATATGTTACAATAAGCTGCAATTTCACCCTTTACACCAATTATATACAGTATACCTCAGCTTAGTGGTATTTCAAATGGATATGCTATACATGAATTGTGTTTGTATATTAAAAGCTTGTTTTAAGAGAATCAACGATAATCTTGCGAATCTTCGGGAACCCGTGATGGAAGATGTGCCGCATCTATTTAGACCGAGATACCATCAACAAGGAAATCCATTCCTACTAATGGAACTCAAAGCTCTGGAAAAGCAGTATCTAATGATCAGGAATACAGTGCATATGTTGAATTTGATCTTCAGTTTGCAGCTTCTCTCTACGATAATCCTGACTATTTGCGAGGTTACTTTCAACCTGTATTTCTACATTACGGAATGCATAAATGATGATAACGACTTTATGAGCAAAATGCAGGAAGATTTTTGGTACTGGTATTTTCTGATATCCATAGTATATCAATTTTTTAAAATGGCCTCGATAATATGGGCCTGCGAGACTGGCAAGAATCAAGCTCTTGAAATCGGCACCACTATTCATATCGTATTTAATAGCGTTGACGATGAAAACGTGAAAGACGAGGTAATGTAATTTGAATTGTATGATGAAAAAAAGTTGTTAACTTGACTAAATGCGTTTAATTCGTACAATTATTGAGTTCAAGTGTTTACTTATTTAGGTTAAAAATTTTGTAATTTCAAACATGCGGACAAAACCCTACTGTTGTCACCGGAAATAACTATAATTTTTATTCATCAATACATTTAATTGTGATAACGATAAATGTGATAACGATTTTAATAGCCATAGCCATTAAAACGTGCTAATCTTATGGTTATTATAATCATACTACGTACAGTTCTTAGAACTAAAAAAAAGGAATTAATTAGCAATTCTATAAGTCGTAGTAACCACGCGTAACCGTTTTATTCGTGATTTGTTTGAATTAACAAATATTTATAATACTTTATAGCTCGTGATTTCATTTAAATGATCAACTAACATTTTTTGAAACAGCAACTTTTTTTCTCAGCGATAAATTTTTTAGGTACCAATGCGATTTGTTTGTATATTAAATCTACTTAAGTTATAATTACTCGATTTAATATTAACTCTGTGCTTTAATATTGCAGTTGCAACTGTTTTCTTTGCAAATATTGCGTCGCGAAAGTATATTTTCAGCAAAAAGTGTCGATATGGACGCAACGCTTCTTGTTGCGGCAAGTAACTGATTAATTGCTTATCTTCTCTCTCATGAATTAAATATGTTACTTATTCTATCGTATTTTCTTTTTAGATTGTTGGTAACATTACTACGTACCTGTTAATCTTACTACAGTTCCTGGTATTGTCAACTTCTTGCGAGGGAGTGATTACAAATAATTTATTACGCGGTCTTTAAGTTATTTATAGATAATATTTAATAATATTAATAAATAAGATTAGTAGTATTAACACGAATATGATTAGGAAGATACACAAACAAAACAATAGAATGTTTTCAAATATTGAAGATATTATATTATATTTACAATTTGTATTAAAAATGTTTTATATTAAAGTTATCGAATCCCCTGTATGTCTCTACTAACAATAAGCTTTGCGATTCTTCGTTATTTCGATATTATTTATTCTTATAATTCTGTATTTTAAGAAGTCGCATCTTAAACAAAGTGTTTACGAATAACTTCTGGAGGAAAATTTTGTTTGTTTTAAAGTTTTATAGTCATATTTTAATTCGAGAACACTCTTTCATCATATATTTAATTCATATTTGTGTTACTTTAAATGCATATAACGAATATCTAACTTTATATAATTTTATCTAACATTATATAATTTATCTAACATTATATAATTTTACAATATATTCACAGAGTATTAATTTTTATATAATAAAGAAATACATAAGAGGATGTTATCTAAAATAACTAATTGTAAGAAGAGGCATACTGACAATGTCAAATATAATAGCTATATATTTTAGTTCAAAATGTATACGGACTCATTCTTATTCTAATAGAAAATGTTGATGTGAAATAATGAATTGCCTTTGAATTTGAATCTATAAAATGGTGTAAGGAACAGAAAACGTATCTTTTACATTTAAATTACATTCTCTTTCACAAAATAGATGATTAGATGGTTACTTCTATTAATACTATAAAATTGATTTTAATTTAATTATAAAATTTTAAAAACACGTTTATCTGTTACGAGTTTGATACTATTATTATATTTAAATCGCTTTTAAATATTCTAATTCGTCACAAGGAGTAGTTGATCATAAATAGGTTCGCCGTTTGTTTTTTCTCCGCGACAACCATCTGCTTCTTCTCTCTGACTTTTCACTTCGTTTTTCTCTTGAAAATAATTGCTCGCCTGATCGAAATGCGGCACGAATCGCTTCGTAAAACATCATGAACGAATGAAGCCTTCTTTTTCATCTTTATTTTACTCAATTTAAGTATTTAACAAACAAAGTGACAAGTAGAACGTATATTTACTGTTTATAATGTATCATACTTTTAAAATAATATATATATCTAATATACATATATATGGAGAAAAAGTTGTATAAAATTATATTCTATTATTTAAAATGAAAAAAAAATTGTTTTATGTAACAATAAAACTATTTAACGCTTTTTAAAATTGTTTTACGTAAATATAAAAAATTTTACATTGTAGACAGACATGCAGAAGATATATATCTTTTTTTAGATTTTTCGTTTTTATTTACAAATATTTGTATATAAATATTTCAAACTAAATAGAGAACATACGAATAATATTTGTGCTTTTAAATTGATATTATTTAACGTTTAATACGTCTGAAGCATTAAAAATGAAAACAGAAATGAAATTATTAATAAGGTTATTTTTATATATAAAAGTAAATAATTTTTAATAATAAGCAATACGTTAAAACTTTACAACAATAATATTTCTTGTTATATAATTTTATTAATATTAATTAAATATCTTATATACATATAATTCATTAATATTAGTGATTAAATAATCAAATATTATTGAGATTACAAATTTAAAAGTTGAATAACCCCAGTTTTGATAATTAATTAATAAATTTCTACTTCGTTTGATATATATATATATATATAACTGCAATTTTTTATATAATTGTATTTTAAGTAATCAGTATATTTTCTTTAAATGGTTAACTTACGGACTTATTATTAGATATAAAATAAAAAATAAGACTAAAATTATTTTACTCGAAAAATTGTTCAAAAATTGATGAATCGTACATGTCATAAGTATCTAAAAAGTTAATCCACCATTCTTTTTTATTATATTTTGAATGATGGTTAAGATAAAGCATTCTGTCTATATCTACTTTCTATAAAATAAATTGTTCTTATGTACATCCATTGTTGCATAAATTGTTGCTTTGTACTGCAAAAATAAAAATTATTCTAATAGAAGAAAATGTTTCGAGCAAAGAAAATTTATCGTAAAAAAATTTATATACTGTCGTGTCTATCATAATTTTAAAATTTGAGAGAGAGAGAGAGAGAGAATATTAAAGAAACGAAAAAAGAAAAACCATGATATTCCTTATGTATCTTCTTTGTCACTTTCGAATTGAAGAACGAAATTATGAATCGCATATCTACAAATAGCAAATATGAGAATGACCTAATTAAACTGAGAGTGTCTCTCTTACATGCTAATCAAATAATTATTTCAGATAGACGTTAATATTGCAGACAAAGATTATATCATATTCGGCTATCAACTTGACTAGATATTAACTGAATGGATTTTGATTAATACAGTGATCTGATTTATTTTACGAGATAATGTTTATTTATATAAAAGTTTGTGATAAAATTTTATACAGTAATTTCCACGTAAATTAGGTATATATAGTATTACTTCATACATGACAAGCAATGTGTCAACTATTTCGCATTTCCGTTACATGTAAGCTTCCTCGCCGCAAGATTTCAAGAGCGCGATAAATCTTCTATTTCAAATTCATCACACATATCCGCATTCTTATCGCTATATACTATTCGGTATGAGTTTATATAAGGACGTCACTCGCAAATTTTGAGGGCTTCATGTATATTTTGTGCTTCCAAACGGGCGCTCGTAAACACCGCAGTGTGTCACTCTTCATGTGCACTCATATAACAGAAAAATAACATGCTGTATAAAAGCTAAAGCCCTCGCCTGTATAAAAGTAACGGTGAAGCGAGAGATAGAGATGTGTTTTTCTGTACGAAATGAAATGATCCAAAGTCTCATTATACATACATAAATTTTGTTATTAAAAATTTTTATTTTCTCTTATGATCTTTCTTTTATATCTTTTTTTAATAATAATTTTATGCACATTTTTTCTATTTTCATATCTTATAAGATTTGGTTTTTAATATCGTGGTGAATAAAAGAAAGAATAAGTGTTTCTAGGTTTCTATAATTTAAATTATTCGATATATTTATCCTCTCTCTATCTGTAATCTAGGTCCTTTTTAACAAAAGCAAAATTTCACTTTCAAGTTTCTCGAAGATAAAGGAGAGCGCAGTCCGGTTCTCCTTCTCAAAACATCTGGTTAAAAAACTATTTAATAATGTTATGGAGATATTGAAAAGTAACTCTGAATTTTTGCACTCTTTTTAAAAGCCTAGAATAGTAAAAAAAACTTGGAGAGAATAAAAATATGATTGTAAATGGTGGGAAGAAAAATAAAACTCAATCAAGAGCTCCGCCGAGGAATTCACACTCAAGGAATTCCTTTATATGATGTGACAGTCGTCGAGTACGTTAAAAAGTTATGATTTAAGATTGATTGGCGTGTTATCGGAGTGACAATATGAAGAAACGTTTATTCTGTATTTGGAGAAGAAAGAGAAAGAAAGAAAGACAGAGAAAGCTGGTATTCGCGAAAATAACGTTGAATATATAAAAGCGGCAGTGATCTCGCTGGAAGATATACACACGAACGAAGATTTCGCGTGACTGACAGCCGAGAGAAAAGCAGGTGGGAGGGAAATTCTGGGTGGAACACCGAGCGCGGCATCTCTTCGTGTCTTTCAGCTGGGGCTACGTGACGTCCTCGTTAAAATATAACCGCCAGCGCACCGTGTCTATAGAGCTCCACAGGTCGCATCGACTTGCCGCGCGACAGGTTCGGAACGGAATGGAACAGAATGAAATCCATTCTTCGAGACTCACAGCTGAACGGACGAGCTCCATCAGATTTACCATCGTAATGTGAGGCTCGATTTAGTTTTGCAATTTAAGAACGCATCTCGTCAGAGTAACTCCGTCACAAACTTTTTATGACTAAAGTATTGTTATTTTTATAACGAAGAGATTATTGATAAAACAATCTGGCGCAAACTAAAACTCGAGATCTGTCTCTCAATGTTTCTAATAATTAATATTGTGATATTAAAAGTTAATAGAAAGAAAGAGAGAGGAAGTAGTAAGAAGATGGAAGATAAAATTTTTTTGCAATTAACTCCTCTCCGATTAGATTCTAACAAAGATATTTCTAAAGCCTTATAAAAAGAAATAAAAACTTAATTCATTTTTTGCTAAAATAAGAAGTTCG